TCTTGCATTGTCTCACACATGAGCTTTTGGGGGACACCGTGACAACATTTGACCCTTGACTTTCTGAGTGTGCTTATTTCACTTAGCATGATGTTTTCCAGTTCCATTCATTTACCAGCAAATGCATATCATCTTCTTTATAGTTGTTTTAAATTCCATTGTGTATATATGCCTCATTTTCTTTACCCACTCATCTGTGGAATGTGCATCTGGACTGGTTCCATAACTTGGTTATTGTGCATTGTGCTACTATAAACATGGATGTGGCTGTATCACTATAGCATGCTTATTTTAGTTCTTTTGGATAAGTACCAAGGATTGGGATAGCTTATTCATACAATGGTTCTATTTCTAATTTTTTCAGGAATATCCATACTTCTTTCCAGAGTGGTTGCTCTAATTTGTAGTCAAACCAACAATGTGTGAATGTATCATTCCCCCACATCCTTTCCAGCATCTGTTATTATTGTATATAATCTTGATTATTGCCAYTCTGATTTGAAATGAAATCTCAATGTAGTTTTGATTTGCATTTGCCTGCTTGCTAGAGATGTTGAACATTTTTCATATATTTGTTGGCCACCTGTATTTCTTCTTCTAAGAAGTATCTGTTTAGTTCTTTTGTCCATTATTAGTTGTTTTTTTTTCCTTTTGGTGTTAAGTTTTTGATATATATATATCAAAAGGCTCTCTTTCTCTCTCTCCACACACTTTTAACTGTTTTCTTTGCTGTGCAGAAGCTATTTAATTTGATGCTTTCTCTCTCATTGGTTCTTGGTTTTATTTCTTGTACTTTAGGAGTCTTGTTAAGGAAGTTGATGCCTGTGCCAATATGTTGGAGTGTTGAGCCTATATTTCTTCTAGCAGTTGTTGAGTTTATGGTCTAATTAKTAGGTCTTTAAACCACTTGAGTTACAATTAATTTTAAAACTTTTTATAATTAAACAGTCAAGGAAAGTCTCTTCTGCATTKAATAAAGTAAATCTTCCCTAGTGTGATTGGTTCTTTGCCATTACAAGCATATTGCATTGAAAGTGACAGAAAAGCCTAATATTAATGAAAAGAATAAAGACAAATGTGAATCTCAAATTTTTGCACATATATGAAGACAATAATATAGTCCAGTATTATTGCAAACAAATATTTTGATGTGTGGATTATTTTTAACAGGTTAAAGATATGCAATAAACATTATGCTATGTGTCAGATCACCCAAAGTAGAAATGAAACATTTTTGGCTTTTATTTACAATTAAAGAAAATGTTCAGCACAAAAAAAATAAGATTCATATCTTCCAGCAAGTCAATATTTAAGACTTTTTAATATATACTTTCTAAAGCTTATTTTAAAAGAGATTTTTATGATGTGTTGAAATCCTGTTCTTTTTTCTGCCATTCATTTTCATGTCCTTAAGGGTTCTTGATAAGACAGAATCCTTGATTAGAGAGAAAAAGAGACAAGAATTTTTTTAATACAAGCATTAATTAGAGTCGAGTTTATTATTATCTTAACCATTCAACATTTCATATACTGAATCATTTTTCTAATCAGGTACCAACAAGAGAAAGTAAACATACTTAGTAAATAATACCATCAGTTCCCTTTTAAAAACCCAATGCCAGGGCTGGAGTTGTAGCTCAGTGATAAAGTGCTTGCCTGGCATATGCAGGGCACTGGATTTGATTCTCAGCACTGCGTATAAATAAATGTCTATCAACAACTTAAAACATATTTTTAAACAAACCCTAAAAATCAATAAAAATATAAATAAATAGTAATTTTGCTTTTATCTCAAAACAAAACAAAACAAAACAAAAAAACCCAATGCCATTTACTTCTCCAACAGTATTTTTTATTTTAACTTTTTCTGTTATTTTCTCTTGTAAATGAGAAATCCAAGATAATCAAAACATTTAAACAATATAAAAATTTTCCACCCTGATTTTATGATGTGTCTTATGAATGTTTTTCTCAGTTTTCAAAGTATACAAAATGTGTTTTTAGGTAGTTCCTATAGATCATTTTTAACAGTTGCTAAAATGGAACTACATGTATTTTGCCAATACTTTTTAAAAATGTTTATTCTTAGTTGAACACAAAATATAATTTCCCTTTTTTTTTGGTGGGGGTTTGGGGCGGTACTGGGGATTGAACTCAGGGGTATTGCACCACTGAGCCACATCCCCAGCCCTATTTTTGTATTTTATTTAGAGACARGGTGTCACTGAGTTGCTTGGTGCCTCGCTTTTGCTGAGACTGCTTGAACTTGCTATCCTCCTGCTTCAGCCTCTGGAGCTGCTGGGATTACAGGCGTGCACTACCACACCCAGCCTTCATTGCTATTATATCTTCAAAAGGATCAAAATCCTGATTCTATTAAATTATTCACATCATGTTATTGTATCTCAATATTTGTCTAGGAAAAAACAATTTTTATTAATCAGGTGGTGGAATATATATTTTTAATATCATATAAGGAAACACATTAATGATTTCAATTCTTTTTTTTGTTTTGTTTTTTAATTTTTTTAGTTGTAGGTGGACACAATACCTTTATTTAACTTATTTATTTTTATATGGTGCTGAGGATGGAACCCAGGGCTTCACACATGCAAGGCAAGCTCTCTACCACTGAGCCACAATCCCAGCCCAGTTCAAATTCTTATACATAAATGTGATCCTGAAAATGAACACCATGATTTCAAACTATTATAAACATGCTCTTTCCTCAGTACAAAGATTTGTACAACTGTGTTAACAAACCTTTATTGGTTACACACAATGAGAAGCAAAAGAAAATATGTTTTTTTCTTGTCTCAGAACATGTATGTTAATTTTTGAATATTTAAATATTTCACCTATAAACTGGATTATTTACATAATTGTCAAAGTGCCATAAACAGCAAATAGCAAATAATAGTGGCGGTTCATACAACTCAGAAAGCTTGCTGAATTAAATAATGCTTTCAGGAATTTTCTTAGTTAAAAAAAA